AGGGGAAGTGCATCGATTTTATCGAGTAGGGTCCAGAAGAAAGACAATTTTGATATCGTTTGGACTGGCATATCTCTCGCTTCCATACGATAAGCCAAACTTGCCAAATCGCCAATAGTATACTCACGTTGCCATAGCGACCAGCGCAGTGATGACGTATGAAAGGCTTAGCTCCTCCACAGAGAAGGTCAATCACTGCAGAAATTGGTCATTTTCAATTGTCTTGTTGTATTCACGACGTGAAAGAAGTGCTGTGGTCAATGCTGTTAGTGCCGTGAACTATTTGTCGCCCTTCTCAAGCATTTCCCGAGGCTGACTGTGCCTAGGAAATGGTTTCCTCCAGGACAAGATGCTTGGAATTCGCCGTCTCTTCTGAGACATTTTCAGCAAACTTTCAAACCTGCGACATTATTTCATTCGTCAATCTCCACCACCTGTCGTCTCACCTGGCTTCAGAAGATGTTACGAGAGATAGGAGAGTCGCCAGGAAGCATCACATTCATCTTCAGGAAGTGGAAAGAGCAAACGGCATGGTCCTTGGTTGGGGGAAATGCTGAATGTCTGATTTGTCCCAACCAAGATTTCAGCATTTTGTTCGTCACTATTTTCGCTTGTCTGCTGGTGTCTCCACACTCCAGCTTTCTCCTGTCGGTGTCACGTCCCAGTACACAACCGAGAGGACTACTAACAAACAGTTCACTGCACTAACAGCATTGAACACAGCCCTTCTTTCACTTCGTGAATTCAATAAACCAATTGAAAATGACCAAATTCTGCTGTGATCGACCTTCTCTGTGGTGGAGCTAAGCCTTTCGTACGTCATCACTGCGCTGGTCGCTATGGCAACGTGAGTATACAATTGGCGATTTGGCAAGTTTGGCTTATCGTATGGAAGCGAGAGATATGCCATTCGAACCGATATCAAGTTGTCTTTCTTCTGGACCATACTCGAAAAATCGATGCACTTCCCCTTTAACTTGCAGCGTTGTCACGTTGTTTTCTACAGTAACAGGCACAGCCCTCATAGCCACAGCTGGAGTCGACACCTGCCTCGTTGATAGCGTGGTGTTAATTGCGACGTCACCCGTTCCAGACGGCGGCTGCCAGCTACTTAAAAAGTGCCGGGGCTCGACGCAAACGTTCCCTATGGTGCTCCGTGCAGTCGGCGGTGGTGCATCTTAGTGCACCCGTTGGTGCCACGTGCTCGCCCCCACGAACAGTCCCGCCCGCCATGGCCAGCTTCGAGGCACCGAAAACACAGACTCTTGCCCTTTGCGGTTTTCCAACGCTTCTGAGGACTCGATGCCTTGAATGACATGCACTGCTAAGCCTTATGGTGGCCCTGGCAAACGACACACACAATCGTCTTTGGTTGACTGCTGGTGACGAATGTGCGTGGCTTCTCGTAGCGACCATCTCTGGGCGGCCGAGGCGGGTGGTCTTGCCTGCTGGTGATGCCGAAACCTTTTGCTGTCTCGGAGGCAGTCACCAGAAATTCTGCTTCTAGGGTGGTGTACTCCAGTAAGCTCTGCACTGATTCTTGTAGGCCATGGTCGTACCGTCAGCGATGGTACCATGCCACAATCTGCTCATCTAACTTGCGCAACAGCATGTGGTAGAAGGTCCCGGCAGCTAACTCTGCTGCACGGCCTGCATCCTTGAGGTTCACCACAGCAATGGCCAGAAGCTCTGAGAATGTCTCCAATTCTTTCGGCTTTCCGTACCTGACTGGCCTCATTGCCTCGATTTCCTCCATGTGGATGGCTACCCGTCTTCATTTGCCACCGTGTCAGCAGGGCCTTAGCGGCGTCCTACGCAGCGGCAGAGTACCCAAGCTGTCCACCGCTGTCAATGGCTCTCCTCGGAGGTACTGACGCAACTGCAGCATCTTCCATTCCAGTGAAACCGGGGCAGCGTCCACGCATGTTGAGAAGGCTGACCGCCGTGACTCGAACCGCCTCTTGTCGCCCTCAAATACTGGGATTGTGATCTTCTTTAGGTGCGACCATCGGCCAGCTGCCTTTGCTGAGAACGTCGTCCGACCTTGGTGCGGCGATGGGGCTGGCTGTGAGGTGATACTACTGATCACTGACTGTACAGGTGGTGCCTGTTGGGGGTATAGTGTTGATGCCATGGAGCACTGTGCCCATACATGGAGAATGTCGCGGTAGCAGGCTGCAACCAACTAGATCCATATGCACCGGTCCTTGACGCTGTTAGATATGCTCCTGGTGCTGGGGTTGTGGTGCTAGCTGTAGTACTCCTACCCAGCAGTGACTGGCTGAAATGAACAGCTTGTGCAGGTCTTCCCTGGACTGTGGCCGGTACACTGGCGCTAACAGTGGTACTTGGCACTGGAGCTTTTGCTGTCACACTGGCATCAAGGGCAGAGACCTTTCTCTTCTCCTTGTATACACAGAGGCAGTACGCTTAGGTTCTGTGAAAGCGAAGGGCTCAATATCTGATTCAGGCAGAGCGGCGTACACAAAGGCACACAATGAAAACCTTGGGCAGATTTCCGTTGTGACTCAGAGGCTGCAACGTATCGCATGCAATGAGGAAGTGTTCAACGACGCAATATCTTTATACGAGGACGCACTGGACTCAAGCGGCCACCCGAAAACCATGACTTACAAGGATGAACCAAGCAACAAGAAGAAAATAGCGAAGAAAGGGGCAAGCAGAAACGTCATCCCGCCGTACAGTACCACGGTCAAAACCAACGTTGGTCCAAAGTTCCTATACCCCATCAAGAAACACTTCCCTGAAGGGTCGGCCATGCACAAGCTGTTTAACAAGAACACGACGAAAGTAAGCTACAGCTGTATGAAACACATAGCGTGGATTATCAAAGGACACAATGCTGTAAAACTCAACTCGTGACCGCCAGTTGTGCCATGCAACTACCGGGTCAAGGCATCGAGCCCCCTCAACGGTGACTGCCAGTCGTCCGACGTCGTGTACGAGGCGCTCGTAACCTCCAACGGAGTAAAGAACTACGTCGGCATGGCAACTACCACAAATCAAGCAGCGCTACAACAAACACTCTTCGGACTTCCGCCGTGAAAGGTACGCCGCATCAACTCAGTTGTCAAGCACATCTTGGACCTGAAAAACGAGAACCGCGCAGTCGACATCAGATGGAAGATCCAGGATAGAGCACCTTCCTACAGCAATATCAGCAAGAAATGTGGCCTATGTCTCACCGAAACGTTCCACATCCTGAAAGCTCCAAAGGCCCCCTCCCTAAACAAGAGAAGTGAGCTGGTATCTAAATGTCCTCACCAGCGCAAGTTTCTGCTGACCACCCCAGTAATATAGACAGCAATGAGCGCTACAGGTTTAGATGCGTGATTGAGGGCATTTTTGTTGTGCGCTTAGATTTGTAATACGAACGTAGATGCCTGTGTATGCGTGTGTGTGCGTGCATGTGTGTGTATGTGTGTATATATGCATGCGCGCATGTTTTTGTGCGTGTGCGAGTTAGGGTGTTGTGGGTGAGTGGGTGTATGTGTGTGTGTGTGTCCGTGTGCAAGTTAGGGTGTTGTATGTGTGTGTGTGTGTGTGTGTGTGTGTGTGTGTGTGTGTGTGTGTGTGTGTGTGTGTGTGTGTGTGTGTGTGTGTGTTCAGGGCAATACGGACATCCCAAGTCACGACCACACACCGAAAACTACTGCTCGCTTGAAGACTGTATAAAGTGTATTCACAAACAACAACAAATCTGAAAACCCAAAAACTCTGAAAAAGAAGCCAAACAAAAAGCCACGAGGTCCGCTCAGCGCCTCGCGCACCAAGACCATCTACGAAAATGGAGGCATCGCAGTTCGCCTTCAAGGAAACAACAACTATTGAAGCGAAGTGGTGAAAACTGCAAGAACGCGAAAGCCATAGATCACGCACACAACAGAAAAAGCCTGTACCAAAGAAAGCGCAGCATTGTACACACACAGCGCACAGTTCACTGTACATTTGGCAAAAAAACATAAAGGAAAATCAAGACAGTTCAAAGCGCAAAAAACACATGTTCACGTCATGTTCAAGGAAATTCAAACGAAGAGAAAAGAGAGTAGAGAAGTTTAGAGAAGCGCAAGAACGAAGAAATGGAGAAGAGAAACGTTCTTGAGATGAAGAGTAGAGAGAAGAGCAGAGAGAAGAGAGAGACAGACTGGAAAGAAGTTCTACAGAAGACGTGAGAGAGAAGAAAGGTGAGAGAATAGACAGAACGAAAATAGCAAAGACAAAGTTCACAACAAATTCAAAACAATGTCGATCTTGTTCACAAGTTCAACCATCAGGCAGGAACAGTGTGTGTGTGGATGTGTGTTGGTGTTTGCGTGTGTGTGTGGATGTGTGTTGGTGTTTGCGTGTGTGTGTGGATGTGTGTTGGTGTTTGCGTGTGTGTGTGGATGTGTGTTGGTGTTTGCGTGTGTGTGTGGATGTGTGTTGGTGTTTGCGTGTGTGTGTGGATGTGTGTTGGTGTTTGCGTGTGTGTGTGGATGTGTGTTGGTGTTTGCGTGTGTGTGTGGATGTGTGTTGGTGTTTGCGTGTGTGTGTGGATGTGTGTTGGTGTTTGCGTGTGTGTGTGGATGTGTGTTGGTGTTTGCGTGTGTGTGGTACATGGTGTTACTATAATTATGTGCACGCGTTAGTATGTGAGTGATTGTAGGTGTGGGTGTGTTTTTTGATTTTTTTGTGTTTTTGTGTGCGTATGCGTGCTAGGGTGCTAGTGTGTGAGCGAGATTTAGCGTTTGCTTACGAGTGCTAGACCTGCACCAACCGCATCTGCATCTGAAATATAGCCTGTCCCTGTATACATTCATGCCGTTACTCCTCCCGCTATCATAGTATTATTATCACACCTCTCTAAACTTAGATATACCAGCGCTGTCTCCTACTCCACTATCGTTGTCTGGTGATTGGTTCAGCCATGAAACTCTGACTCACAACGGAATTTCCCGAAGGTTTTCATAGTGTGTCTTTTTTCTCTTCTCCTTGTATAGATTTCTGGAGTATAATCAACTGGATACTATACAGGAGGGAGTATTTCAAGGTCTTGTCAGCCTAAATACTGTGTAAGTTGACTTTAAGGGAAATGTCAATCTGCTGAAACTGCTGCAAATAGTCTTTTTGTGCGAGCTGCCGCTGTTTAATGCTGTTGAACCTGATGGGACAATGCTTTTGTCAGACCAGGCATTTATGACTCCTGACCTGTTGATGGGAAAAGTCAATAGTCTCGTTTCTTTTCAATAAGTATATGGTTTCAATGCTTTACTATCCTCTTGGGTAATGTCATTTCTCTGTAGCCATCCACAATACCCATACATCGTCACAACACTCTCCAAATGGTGTGTGGACTATACCCATCACTAGAAGAGATACCGTTTAGCCCGTGGCTTAGCTACAGTTTAGCCCGTGTCTTAGATACGAAATACCTGACTGGCTTGAGGACAGTTCCATACTGCACGGCTGCTCGCCCAGCTCAGGTCGCACGCGGTAGCTAAACAGACGTTGAGAGCCAGTAGCTATTCACAATGCTGTCACCTCCAACAGCACAATTCCATGAGCGACTCTGACTCGTGCTGCTACCTGGGGCTTCACGAGGTGTTTGTCGCCCTGGAAACAAAGCGTCTCTGTTATTTTGTATCCCTGGTGATGGTTTGGCCTGGAGAGCAGTATAAAAGTGGTGCTTTTCCAGCACAATCCTCCTCAGCCTACTCAAGCTCAACTGATGAGGGGTGAATTCCCCGAAACACTGTGTATTGGGCAGGGAGTGGTGCTTTCTTTCAGGTTTGCCGAGCGGAAGGTGCGACGTGCTCCTCGTGTGCTCCGGATGGCAGTCATGAGTCAGTCAAGTGTCAAGTTCGGCAAGATGCGTCTGCTCCTGTTGGAGCAACCATCTTCATGACTATTACCGCCGAAGTCGCAACTTCTAAGTTCGTTATCTTTCTGCGTTGTTGTTATGTCGCCATTCACGCCAATGCTCCCTTGGCAGCCCATTTCATGCCAATTTCAGTTAGCAAGGTAGTTTACTAGTTACTGAAAGGTCTAGCTAGATTTCGAGTAGATTTCGAGAGCAACGGGTGGGTGATTCTGATTGATAACACACCGCAGCAAAATAGATTATCTTGTCACACTGCACATGCAAGAGCAGCACGACGCACAAGAAAGGAATCTGGTACTCGGAATCAGTTTCATTATGCAAAATGGCTGAGATTGCTCACTTCGGACACCGTTTGCCTAGTTGGGATCGCAGCTCCTTCATGTCCCACTCAAAGCTCAGAGTATCCAGCACATCGTGGAGATTTAAAAGTACTGTACGCCTCGCCGTCGTTCAATATAAAATCTTGCAAAGAACGGCGACTGATTTGAATCACACAGGTAGTCGTGCTGCCCATGTGAAGTCCTATAGAGAAGGCAACCGTCACGATCGACTTCCCTTTAGAAATAGCCAGGGAGCTGAGAGGAAAAGAGCTGAGCTTGCGAAAGCGAGAGAGTCGATCCCGAGCAATAATGTTTGACACCATGGCCGAGAGCAGCGACGAGGAGGACCCAAACAAGTATGAACCCTTCCTTGGACAATAAATTTCTCATCACTAGTTATCATTCTATAACTTACCTTCCATCATACCAAGTTTTATCACCTCAAGTGCACGCGTTGTTGTCCAAAGTCTAAGTTCAAATTGTCAAAAGATACGCGACAATATAGCCGACGCGGACCAAGTACCTTGGTGCAATGGGTGACGACCCTGATTCAAGTGGGTCCTTGGTGTTCTGTGAGGATGGAATTGTCATGTTGCCGCATATGAGGGCATTTTAGTAGCTTACGAATATATTATTGTAGATCATAATATGAATTTTATATTATCAAGACTTAGTACCTGGCTTTACGAAAACACCGAGACTGAGTTGAATTCTACAGAATGCGCTAGTGCTTGGAGGTTTTCGTAAGTTAAAGGGAGTTGGAAACTGGAAAGGTCTGAAGTAGCATAGATTGTCATCACCAGAACTCGGACCAGGGAATATGGCTTATAACCAGCAATGTTCTATCGCTGATGTAGGGTGTAGTCTGTCTGGAGGTATTGGTATTTTGTCAAAATTACTTACTTTATTGACTTCATACACAGATTGCCGGGCTCAGTAAAGTATACCAAGAACGACCCTTAGTGAAATATGCTTGTCCTGTGCTCACTCTTTCTTCTTTCTTTTCTGAACATGTACTTTCTCCAGGATATTACATCATAATTTTCTCATAGCCCTACCAGCAAACCTTTTTCATAGCTGTGGATCATTAATAACCATGTAAGCCAGTAGTCGTATCTTGTCCTTTAAGGCTTTTGACAATCTCTGTGTGCTAGTCAACTATCTGCTGTACATGTATCATACTGACAGTATAGTACTCAGCAGTTTTCTGGTTTTACTTGTTTAAGTAGATAGCTGAAAGTTCGTGCGTGGCCGCGGTGGAGGTGGCGGCGGCGGTGGAGGCGGACATCACATTACACAGATCACATTGCAGAGATCACATGATGCAGATGACATGACAACGATCATATTGAAATGGAAATTCTTCTCCCCTTGGCCCCCGCCACACAGCAACGCAAACTCTTGGTCGTGTCTCAATTCTTATATTATAACAACAAATGACGAGGGCGCAGGAGGAGAAAGACTAGACTGAAAACGACGACGGGAAAAGACACCCGGAAAAAGACACGAAGAAACAACAAAGAACAAAGCAGTAATAAAGCGAGGACAAATCGTAACAACCAATCAGGGACTAATACGTACAGAACACATGACCAAGACCAAGACAACCACACCACGGAAAAATCACACATGACTCTCACTCTCAGACCAAACTAGCACTGCGCATGTACAGCATTCATTTGACAGTCACTCTCACACAGACGGAAGCCGATCCTCTTACTCTGGCAACGCATACTCTTGCATGCACCACATACCATAAACGTCACACATCACACCATACTCGCACGTACACTCGGACCATATATGACATCAGACACTGGACTCTACAAGACAAGAACCAAATACAACAACATGCGTAAATCATAGTCGAACAGAAATGCACTACACCGCCCTCTCCTCCCCGGAGAGTCGACCCAGACTCTAGCAAGTAGGAAAATGCTATACAGGTATATGTACCACGAGACAAAAAGATGGAGTTGGAGAAAAACAAACGGGATGAGGAGCCACGATAACAGTGGCAAGTGGCTGCAGGCTTGAAACCTTGGTGCAAGAAAACATAGAGAGAGCAGAACACAGCAGGCGTGTAGGAGTAAGCAATCAGTGACGACAGCACAGATGAAACATATATCTATAGGGCTGCAAGTACGCAAAAAAAAACAGGAGCCCAAGAACACAGGGACCGCTGCCTGCCAAAACCCATCAACTTACCCACCCTGGCCGGCACAAGTCAGTGCCGCCAGCTAAAAAATACCCGCAAGGCAAACCATGAGAACGCAGGAATCTCTCCGGCTCACGGGGTAGATCGTGGCGCACCATGATTGGACGCCCCCCCCCCCCCCCCCACGGCGAGCCAAAGAGACCCGAAGGACGACACAAACAAATAGAGACGCTCACGCTCACGACCAAAACCAAACCCATGCCATGAAATATGCTATGAACTACGGAAACTGAGCATGTACGCCTCAAAGGGAACACAACGATTCAAGTAACAACAAAAACCCACAACTGGGATCGACTCTTCGGGAACTTGTCAGCCTTGCGAACGACCACCATCTCCAAACATGTATCACCAAAGTATGGCGGGGCGAAGTCGAGTAGAATCACGCTGCCGGTGTCCAGTAGAGGGTCCAGCAGCAAAAAAAAAAACTCGTCACCAAACGTTGATGAAGAGAAAGGAAAAACGCGCAAGGGCATGGCCCAAAAAGAATAAAGAAGCGAAAACAAAAGGGTAACGGCGAGCACAAACTATTCGACTACTTGAGGTCAAGTAGAAGTCTTGATCGAGCCCACGTTGGGCGCCAATGAAATGGAAATTGTTCTCCGTCTGGCCCCCGCCACACAACAACGCACACTCTTGGTTGTGTCTCAATTCTTATACTAGCGAGGTTCTGCTATACGTGAAACGCAGAGAAATTACGTAGGCCCGGGAACTCTCTTCGCGTTCCCGTAACGTATAGAAAATCTGTTCTGCTCTACGTTCACGTAGAGAAATCACGTGGAATGTGTCCTGAGACTTTCCCCTTCCATATTTGGTAGTTTTTTGCCTGCAGTTGATCGATACCCAGCAGATCCGTACCCATTTTCTTTGCGTGTGCCACAACGAAGAGAACCTGATCTCCGCGTAGAAATCTGGAGCCAAAACACGCGAAGCCGTAGACTCTAACCCAGACACTTGCTCTCTACGTGATTTCTCTACTTTTCACGTATAGCAGAACCTCTCTATTATAACAACAAATGACGAGGGTGCAGGAGGAGAAAGACAACAGACTAGACTGAAAACGACGACGGGAAAAGACACCCGGAAAAGACACAACGAAACAACAAAGAACAAGCAGGAATAAAGCGACGACAAATCGGAACGACCAATCAGGGACTAATACGTACAGAACACATGACCAAGACCAAGACAACCAGACCACCGACGAATCACACATGACTCTCATTCCCAGACTAAACTAGCACTGCGCATGTACAGCATTCACTTGACATTCACTCTTCCACAGATGGAAGTAGATTCTCACACTCTGACAACATGTACTTTTGCGTGCACCACATACCATAAACGTCACACATCACACCATACTCGCACGTACACTTAGACCATATATTATGACATCAGACACTGAACTCTACAAGACGAGACCCAAATGCAACATGCATAAATCATAGTCGAACAGAAATCAGCGACAATATGACACAGATCACATTGCGGAGATCACATGACACCGATCACATGTCACACAGTACGTCCTCTTTTCAAATCCGGTGACCCATCTATCCCAAAGAACTATAAGCCGATCTCGCTGCTCCCAGTAGTGTCAAAGATCATGGAGAAGATCGTCCTCAAGCGGCTCTGCCAGTTTGTCCACGCGGAACATCTACTTCCCGACAACCAGTTCGCCTTCCGTCCTCACCACTCGACGGAGGACGCCATCACCGTTGCCGTTGATAGCCTTCTCACTGCCACAGACCACAGCCAGCACTGTGGCCTTGTCTTAGTGGACATGCGCAAGGCCTTTGACAAGGGTAACCACCAAGCGATGGTGAAGGAGCTCCATGACATTGGTATCGGCTCAGTTGCCCTCGATTGGTTCGTGGACTACCTCAGTGGCAGACACCAGAGAGTAGCCTTAGCCGACGGGGAAGTCCCTGATACGACTAGCTGCACGTGCGGTGTTCCACAGTGCAGTGTCTTGGGGCCGGTACTCTTCTCCCTTTACACAAGGAGCATAGTGCAGTGTGCGTCACCAGCGCTGGTTCTGATGTTTGCTGACAATATCATGATCTACACCAGCAGGCCGGACGTAGCTACCATCAACCGTGTCCTCTCCATTGCAGTGTCCGGAGTTGCAACATTTCTGGCGGACAAGGGGTTAATTCTCAACGCGCAGAAAACCCAGGTTCTGGGCATCTCCGCTGGAAGGCGGAAGAGACTAGAGCTTGAAGTTACATGTCGTGGCACTCCTCTGGCTCAAACCAGCACAGCCAAATCCCTTGGTATTTGTCTGGACGAGCGCTTGAGCTGGGCAGGTCAAGTGGCTGCTGTAGTGAAGAAGGTGTCCTACAAACTCCGAGTATTGCGCCACATCAGAGCAGACATCACCCGTGCGCAGTCCCTCCTTTACTACACAGCTCTTATCCTAAATGACCTACTCTACGCCTCGAACGCCTACTTCGCCAGCCTCTCAGCAAATCTCAAACAGACCCTCATCAGACTGGATAAGCGCTGCATCCGCTGTATCACAACCCAGCCCTCGCATGCCCACACTATGCAGCTGTATGCCCAACTCAGCATTTGTCCGGCTGTCGAGCGGGCAGATTGCAAGTTGCGGCTTCTCGTACACCGCATACTTCACGGCAATGTCAGCTTGCTGCTCAAATCACGCCTGGAATACAGTTCACTGCCCCGTGCCACCAGAGGTCAGGATGCCTGCAATCTGCCCCTTCCCAACATCCGCAGTACTTCGGGATCTCACAGACCAGTTTTTGCTGCTGCTAAGTTGTGGAATCTTCTGCCCTCTTCCTTAACCCTTTGCCGGTCTAACTCAATGTATGTGAGGGGTGGTCACGCAATTACATGTACACACAACCAGCAATAACTCAAGAACCATGTGATGTAGGTATGGGTAAACCATATATTTTCAAAATCTGTATGCCTGAACGCGTCCAGAAAATTCAAATATGACTAGGTCCAGGCAAGGATAGGGCCCATGGTAGCCCTTGAAGTTGAGAGAAAATACAATTGCGAATGAAATACACGAATATCACAGCACGAAGGGCATACCAAGTTCGTGATGGAGCTGAAGTCGTACGATAAACAATCAGGTAAGGGCTACGTCTTTACAAGAAATGTAGGCTCTCTACAATACCGCCATTGAACACCAACACCTCGCCATCGGCGATACGCCAGCAGCAGCAATTCCCATTCCACGATATCGCAGTTTCGGTTTGTTCACCTCAGCGCTGCTCGCGTCAGATTCACTCTCGCTCAGATGAGTACTCAGGCGCGAGCTTACGCATGCCGTGATTCTCACGGCCAGGCGAATCAGCTGATCGCACCTGACGAGTCATTGTGACAGTCGCTGTCGCCGTGTCGGCAGCAAGAAGGCTTCCTCTCTGTTTGGAGAATTTTGTTTCTTCATTCGTGGACGATATATTTTTGAACTAGCAGGACTCAACGGAGCTCTTTTTCTCAACACACTACACTGCAAAACCTCCCGGGACATCCAGCCTGGACTGGTGGTGTTACTGCTCTCAGAACGCTTGTGAAACACGGCCCCAAGAGATGCTCTCGCATTCTTGAAATGCGCGCATGGCGGATGGTCGTCTTTTCCAATTTCAACAAACTTCAGTCGATCGATACGGCAAAAATTTGTATGGTAAGCATGGTTGTTTAGCACATCGTCAGAAAGCCTTGGACCTCAGCTACGCGTAGAGCGCCATTTTAGCTGTCTCCTAGCAACAAGAACCCAAAAAAATGAGGGCCAAACGTACCGATACTATAGTATCGGTACGCTTATGGTAGACCGCTAAAGGGTTAAAGTCATGTCTTACCACATGCCGATTCAAGCGTTTATTGAAAGTTTACTTTCATGGCTAATGCTAGGATGTTCCCTATCCCGAGAGTTCCCCATACTCACTGTTTTCATTACTCCACCTATCCAGGTTATCTTAGATTTTATCCGTTTGGGGATGATTGTCCTTGGATTTGCAATGCATGCTTAAAACAAACACGGAATATATGTACTTCGGAATCTCACAGCCTAGCATTCCCCTCTAGTTGGCCTGACCTAGCACATCTCAACTCTCACGTCCATTGAAAGTCTATTTTCATGACCAATGTTGATAATCTAAGGAGAGATTCCTAGACTAACCGTTTTCTTCACTCCCCATAATCCAGGATAAGTAATCTTGTTCTTAATCTTTTCTCCCTTTCCATCGTCATCATAACATTGGGCATGATTGCCCGTTTGACTTGCGATGTAAAATAAAAGCAATACAAAATACATCACATTATGGAGATCGCATGACACAGATCACATGACACAGATCACATTACGGAGATCACATAACACAGATCACATTACGGAGATCACATGACACAGATCACATGTCACAGATGATATGACACAGATCACATGACACAGATCACATTACGGAAATCACATGACACAGATGATATGACACAGATCGCATCATAGAAAACACATGGAGATCAGGTGTGTTTGCTGTCTCCTACTTTAAAACTTCGTAAGGTTGTATGTTAGGTGAACTAGAAAGTACACAGTGCATAGACCAATGGAATGTTTTTCGTATATCATATATGTAAAAAAAAGAAGAAACACATAAGAACGAGTTATGCAGCAAATATCCACGGCTTTAACAAGATGATAAACAGTCAGACAGTGCGATAATAGGGTGATTGTATTGTCCCAATGGTTTAAGCAGCGTCGAATATAAATAACATTGAGGGAGTGTGTGAGAATCTAAGTGTATAGTGTGAGAGATGTAATAGTTTCCTTCTCATTGCATAAGGCACGCTTGAGTATGTGGATGTAGACAGCTTCCAGCACGATATGAGAGACGACGGGAATGGGAAGGTGAAGAAGAAGTCAGCGATTTGTGCACATTTGAAAGCTAGTCCAGGATGTCGTCAGGTGTATTGTGACAATAGTTTTAGTGTACAGTGCCGTGCTAGCTTGTTGTCAAAGTTGAATGTCGGGTAACCTCTGTCACAATTTTTCTCTTCTCTTTGTATAGAGAGCTGCAAAATAATCAACTGAGAACTTTACCGGCGGGAGCATTCAATGGTCTTGGCAGGCTAAGTACATTGTAAGTTGATTTGATGGGAAAATACAATGCTGCTGAAGCTGTTGCAAACAATCCTCTTGTGTGAGCTACGGTAGTTCACTGCGACAAAACCTTATGGGGAGATCATGACTTTTGTCACACCAGGTTCTTGTGACGTCTGGCCTGTTGATGGATGCAAGTCACTTAAAATCTCTTTTCAAATTAAGAAAATTGTTCTAACCCTTTACTCTTTCAGGTATTTGTACAGCAAAATACGACCGTCATTGTTCATGCCGTAACTTTTATTTATTTTTCACTTTCATTACGTACAACATGGGGTGATTCTGAAAGTAAAAACCCTCAGGAATGCGATGCAACAACGTTCAAGTCCAGAAAATGAACAAAAGTATCACTATTTAGCACTAATAATTATTCGGCTTTATTGCCGATCGGGCAAACTGTTGCAATATGCAATAAATCAGATTGTTGCACTGGAGTGGCTCCCTCAGGTAAGTGGATACCAGGTTCATTCTCTGGGATGTGTGTTACCAGTCACAGCGGGGTCAGTATTTTCCCAAGTATTGCAAATATCGACTAGTGCAGGTTGCACCACTGGCTGTACCTAGTACCTGTACACCACAACCTCTACCGTGACCACAGCCTATTCAACGGCTGAATCCTCTCTCTCTGCCACGTCCCCTTCCACCATTAGTAGCACTTATCTCAACGACACTGTCGTTGTCTGTGACATCCATGTCACTTTCACTGGCGCTGCTTTCACTCGCCATGTCATCGTCGCTGTCATCGTCGCTGTTGGCGTCAGAATACATGTTTTCAACAGTATCGTCTGGCTCCACAAACTCATCTTCGCTTGGTAAGGCGGCGACGGTGCCGTCAGGAAGGGTCTCCAGAAGCGAAAGAGCTTGCTCCGCGTCCATGGCTTGCACAACAGGGCGGACAGTCGCGAGGCCAGCTCAAGCAAAAGTCGAAAACACCTGCAGGCAATACCAAAAGTCGCAGGGTACGCACTTTTCGCAAAGCGCATTTTTCAAGTCGCGATTTCCGCGAATTTTTATATCGCATAACACAAAACAATTGTTGGCACCCTCTGCGCGTACATCTTGGCTACCAGCAGGGGAAACCCCAGCTCTCTGCAGTGAGCCAGTCCAGTTTGTGTGCATGAAAGTCATCGACCGAGAGCGGTCGAAATTTGTACGTACAAACGGTAACGGGTTGATGTTTCATTTCCCTCTTGTGTTATGTCAATCCAGGTTTTGTGAACCGAGTAAATAGGATAATAGGGTGATTGTATTGTCCCAGTGGTTTAAGCAGCGTCGAATATAAATAACATTGAGGGAGTGTGTGAGAATCTAAGTGCATAGTGTGAGTGATGCAATAGTTCCCTGGTACAAGCGAGGGTCCCTGGTTCGAGTCCTGGTGGTGACAGTCAATTTTTTCTTCAGACTTTTCCCGTTTGTCTCTTTCCCTCAAAACCAGTCAATATTTTATGACTTGGGGCTCCCCGCGCGCTAGTTTGTACGTGAAGTGTGTGGGTTACAGTGAGGGCTGCGTCCCACCCGCCTGTGTGGATTCACAGAAAGTGTGAGTTACGAAGTCTGAAGAAAACGTTGAACGGTCTCTGCTTGGATGACGACTACACCATAGCTCAGCGGTTAGAGCATCGCTGGCTACAAGCGAGGGTCCCTGGTTTGAGTCCTGGTGGTGACAGTCAAATTTTTTCTTCAGACTTTTCCCGTTTGTCTCTCTCCCTCAAAACCAGTCAATATTTTATGACTTGGGGTTCCCGCGTGCTAGTTTGTACGTGAAGTGTGTGGTTTACAGTAAGGGCTGCGTCCCACCCGCCTTTGTGGATTCACAGGAAGTGTGAGTTACGAAGTCTGAAGAAAACGTTGAACGGTCTCTGCTTGGATGACGACTACACCATAGCTCAGCGGTTAGAGTATCGCTGGCTACAAGTGAGGGTCCCTGGTTCGAGTCCTGGTGGTGACAGTCAAATTTTTTCTTCAGACTTTTCCCTTTTGTGTCTTTCCCTCAAAACCAGTCAATATTTTATGACTTGGGGCTCCCCGGGTGCTAGTGTGTACGTGAAGTGTGTGGGTTACAGTGAGGGCTGCGTCCCACCCGCCTGTGTGGATTCACAGGAAGTGTGAGTTACGAAGTCTGAAGAAAACGTTGAACGGTCTCTGCTTGGATGACGACTACACCATAGCTCAGCGGTTAGAGCATCGCTGGCTACAAGCGAGGGTCCCTGGTTCGAGTCCTGGTGGTGACAGTCAAATTTGTTCTTCAGACTTTTCCCGTTTGTCTCTTTCCCTCAAAACCAGTCAATATTTTATGACTTGGGGCTCCCCGCGTGCTAGTTTGTACGTAAAGTGTGTGGGTTACAGTGAGGGCTGCGTCCCACCCGCCTGTGTGGATTCACAGGAAGTGTGAGTTACGAAGTCTGAAGAAAATGTTGAACGGTCTCTGCTTGGATGACGACTACACCATAGCTCAGCGGTTAGAGCATCGCTGGCTACAAGCGAGGGTCCCTGGTTCGAGTCCTGGTGGTGACAGTCAATTTTTTCTTCAGACTTTTCCCGTTTGTCTCTTTCCCTCGAAACCAGTCAATATTAACTTCAGCACTAATAATTATTCGGATTTATTGCCGATCGGGCAAACTGTTGCAATATGCAATAAATCAGATTCTTGCACTGTAGTGGTTCCCTCAGGTAAGTGGAAAACAGGTTCATTCTCTTGCAGTTGTGTTACCAGTCACAGCGGGGTCAGTATTTTCCCAAGTATTGCAAATATCGACTAGTGCAGGTTGCACCACTGGCTGTACCTTGTACCTGTACACCACAACCTCTACCGTGACCACAGCCTATTAAACGGCCGAATCCTCTCTCTCTCTGCCACGTCCCCTTCCACCATTAGTAGCACTTATCTCAACGACACTGTCGTTGTCTGTGACATTCATGTCACTCTCACTGGCGCTGCTTTCACTCGCCATGTCATCATCGCTGTTGGCGTCAGAATACATGTTTTCAACAGGATCGCCTGGCTCCACAAACTCATCTTCGCTTGGTACGGCGGCGACAGGGCCGTCAGGAAGGGTCTCCAGAAGCGAAAGAGCTTGCTCCGCGTCCAAGGCTTGCACAACAGGGCAGACAGTCGCGAGGCCAGCTCAAGCAAAAGTCGAAAACACCTGCAGGCAACACCAAAAGTCGCAGGGTACGCACTTTTCCCAAAGCACATTTTTTAAGTCGCGATTTCCGCGAATTTTCATATTAAAAAAAAAAGTAATTTATCGTGTCCGTTCCCGAAGGGAACTCACGACGGCCGCTAACACCCGATAAACCCTAGCGGCAGATGCAGCGCCTAACGGTTTTATATTGCATAACACAAAACAATTGTTGGCACCCTCTGCGCGTACATCTTGGCTACCAGTGGGGTAAACCCCAGCTCTCTGCAGTGAGCCAGTACAGTCTGTGTGCATGGAAGTCATCGACCGAGAGCGGTCGAAATTTGTAAGTACAAACGGTAATTGGTTGATGTTTTACTTCCCTCTTGTGTTATGTCAATTCAGGTTTTGTGAACCGAGTAAATAGGATAATAGGGTGATTGTATTGTCCCAATGGTTTAAGCAGCGTCGAATATAAATAACATCGAGGAAGTGTGTGAGAATCTAAGTGTATAGTGTGAGAGATGTAATAGTTTCCTTCTGATTGCATAAGGCACGCTTGAGTATGTGGACGTGGACAGCTTCCAGCACGACGTGAGAGACGATGGGAATGGGAAGGTGAAGAAGAAGTCAGCGATTTGTGCACCTTTGAAAGCTAGTCCAGGATGTCGTCAGGTGTATTGTGACAATAGTTTTAGTGTACAGTGCCGTGCTAGCTGGTTGTCAAAGTTGAATGTCGGGTAACCTCTGTCACAATTTTTCTCTTCTCTTTGTATAGAGAGCTGCAAAATAATCAACTGAGAACTTTACCGGCGGGAGCATTCAATGGTCTTGGCAGGCTAAGTACATTGTAAGTTGATTTGATGGGAAAATACAATGCTGCTGAAGCTGTTGCAAACAATCCTCTTGTGTGAGCTACGGTAGTTCACTGCTACAAAACCTTATGGGGAGATCATGACTTTTGTCACACCAGGTTCTTGTGACGTCTGGCCTGTTGATGGATGCAAGTCACTTAAAATCTCTTTTCAAATTAAGAAAATTGTTCTAACCCTTTACTCTTTCAGGTATTTGTACAGCAAAATACGACTGTCATTGTTCATGCCGTAACTTTTATTTATTTTTCACTTTCATTACGTACAACATGGGGTGATTCTGAAAGTAAAAACTCTCAGGAATGCGATGCAACAACGTTCAAGTCCAGAAAATGAACAAAAGTATCACTATTTAGCACTAATAATTATTCGGCTTTATTGCCGATCGGGCAAACTGTTGCAATATGCAATAAATCAGATTGTTGCTCTGGAGTGGCTCCCTCAGGTAAGTGGATACCAGGTTCATTCTCTGGGATGTGTGTTACCAGTCACAGCGGGGTCAGTATTTTCCCAAGTATTGCAAATATCGACTAGTGCAGGTTGCACCACTGGCTGTACCTAGTACCTGTACACCACAACCTCTACCGTGACCACAGCCTATTCAACGGCTGAATCCTCTCTCTCTGCCACGTCCCCTTCCACCATTAGTAGCACTTATCTCAACGACACTGTCGTTGTCTGTGACATCCATGTCACTTTCACTGGCGCTGCTTTCACTCGCCATGTCATCGTCGCTGTCATCGTCGCTGTTGGCGTCAGAATACATGTTTTCAACAGTATCGTCTGGCTCCACAAACTCATCTTCGCTTGGTAAGGCGGCGACGGTGCCGTCAGGAAGGGTCTCCAGAAGCGAAAGAGCTTGCTCCGCGTCCATGGCTTGCACAACAGGGCGGACAGTCGCGAGGCCAGCTCAAGCAAAAGTCGAAAACACCTGCAGGCAATACCAAAAGTCGCAGGGTACGCACTTTTCGCAAAGCGCATTTTTCAAGTAGCGATTTCCGCGAATTTTTATATCGCATAATACAAAACAATTGTTGGCACCCTCTGCGCGTACATCTTGGCTACCAGCAGGGGAAACCCCAGCTCTCTGCAGTGAGCCAGTCCAGTTTGTGTGCATGAAAGTCATCGACCGAGAGCGGTCGAAATTTGTACGTACAAACGGTAACGGGTTGATGTTTCATTTCCCTCTTGTGTTATGTCAATCCAGGTTTTGTGAACCGAGTAAATAGGATAATAGGGTGATTGTATTGTCCCAGTGGTTTAAGCAGCGTCGAATATAAATAACATTGAGGGAGTGTGTGAGAATCTAAGTGCATAGTGTGAGTGATGCAATAGTTCCCTGGTACAAGCGAGGGTCCCTGGTTCGAGTCCTGGTGGTGACAGTCAATTTTTTCTTCAGACTTTTCCCGTTTGTCTCTTTCCCTCAAAACCAGTCAATATTTTATGACTTGGGGCTCCCCGCGCGCTAGTTTGTACGTGAAGTGTGTGGGTTACAGTGAGGGCTGCGTCTCACCCGCCTGTGTGGATTCACATAAAGTGTGAGTTACGAAGTCTGAAGAAAACGTTGAACGGTCTCTGCTTGGATGACGACTACACCATAGCTCAGCGGTTAGAGCATCGCTGGCTACAAGCGAGGGTCCCTGGTTTGAGTCCTGGTGGTGACAGTCAAATTTTTTCTTCAGACTTTTCCCGTTTGTCTCTCTCCCTCAAAACCAGTCAATATTTTATGACTTGGGGTTCCCCGCGTGCTAGTTTGTACGTGAAGTGTGTGGTTTACAGTAAGGGCTGCGTCCCACCCGCCTTTGTGGATTCACAGGAAGTGTGAGTTACGAAGTCTGAAGAAAACGTTGAACGGTCTCTGCTTGGATGACGACTACACCATAGCTCAGCGGTTAGAGTATCGCTGGCTACAAGTGAGGGTCCCTGGTTCGAGTCCTGGTGGTGACAGTCAAATTATTTCTTCAGACTTTTCCCTTTTGTGTCTTTCCCTCAAAACCAGTCAATATTTTATGACTTGGGGCTCCCCGGGTGCTAGTGTGTACGTGAAGTGTGTGGGTTACAGTGAGGGCTGCGTCCCACCCGCCTGTGTGGATTCACAGGAAGTGTGAGTTACGAAGTCTGAAGAAAACGTTGAACGGCCTCTGCTTGGATGACGACTACACCATAGCTCAGCGGTTAGAGCATCGCTGGCTACAAGCGAGGGTCCCTGGTTCGAGTCCTGGTGGTGACAGTCAAATTTGTTCTTCAGACTTTTCCCGTTTGTCTCTTTCCCTCAAAACCAGTCAATATTTTATGACTTGGGGCTCCCCGCGTGCTAGTTTGTACGTAAAGTGTGTGGGTTACAGTGAGGGCTGCGTCCCACCCGCCTGTGTGGATTCACAGGAAGTGTGAGTTACGAAGTCTGAAGAAAATGTTGAACGGTCTCTGCTTGGATGACGACTACACCATAGCTCAGCGGTTAGAGCATCGCTGGCTACAAGCGAGGGTCCCTGGTTCGAGTCCTGGTGGTGACAGTCAATTTTTTCTTCAGACTTTTCCCGTTTGTCTCTTTCCCTCGAAACCAGTCAATATTAACTTCAGCACTAATAATTATTCGGATTTATTGCCGATCGGGCAAACTGTTGCAATATGCAATAAATCAGATTCTTGCACTGTAGTGGTTCCCTCAGGTAAGTGGAAAACAGGTTCATTCTCTTGCAGTTGTGTTACCAGTCACAGCGGGGTCAGTATTTTCCCAAGTATTGCAAATATCGACTAGTGCAGGTTGCACCACTGGCTGTACCTTGTACCTGTACACCACAACCTCTACCGTGACCACAGCCTATTAAACGGCCGAATCCTCTCTCTCTCTGCCACGTCCCCTTCCACCATTAGTAGCACTTATCTCAACGACACTGTCGTTGTCTGTGACATTCATGTCACTCTCACTGGCGCTGCTTTCACTCGCCATGTCATCATCGCTGTTGGCGTCAGAATACATGTTTTCAACAGGATCGCCTGGCTCCACAAACTCATCTTCGCTTGGTACTGCGGCGACAGGGCCGTCAGGAAGGGTCTCCAGAAGCGAAAGAGCTTGCTCCGCGTCCAAGGCTTGCACAACAGGGCAGACAGTCGCGAGGCCAGCTCAAGCAAAAGTCGAAAACACCTGCAGGCAACACCAAAAGTCGCAGGGTACGCACTTTTCCCAAAGCACATTTTTTAAGTCGCGATTTCCGCGAATTTTCATATTAAAAAAAAAAGTAATTTATCGTGTCCGTTCCCGAAGGGAACTCACGACGGCCGCTAACACCCGATAAACCCTAGCGGCAGATGCAGCGCCTAACGGTTTTATATTGCATAACACAAAACAATTGTTGGCACCCTCTGCGCGTACATCTTGGCTACCAGTGGGGTAAACCCCAGCTCTCTGCAGTGAGCCAGTACAGTCTGTGTGCATGGAAGTCATCGACCGAGAGCGGTCGAAATTTGTAAGTACAAACGGTAATTGGTTGATGTTTTATTTCCCTCTTGTGTTATGTCAATTCAGGTTTTGTGAACCGAGTAAATAGGATAATAGGGTGATTGTATTGTCCCAATGGTTTAAGCAGCGTCGAATATAAATAACATCGAGGAAGTGTGTGAGAATCTAAGTGTATAGTGTGAGAGATGTAATAGTTTCCTTCTGATTGCATAAGGCACGCTTGAGTATGTGGACGTGGACAGCTTCCAGCACGACGTGAGAGACGATGGGAATGGGAAGGTGAAGAAGAAGTCAGCGATTTGTGCACCTTTGAAAGCTAGTCCAGGATGTCGTCAGGTGTATTGTGACAATAGTTTTAGTGTACAGTGCCGTGCTAGCTGGTTGTCAAAGTTGAATGTCGGGTAACCTCTGTCACAATTTTTCTCTTCTCTTTGTATAGAGAGCTGCAAAATAATCAACTGAGAACTTTACCGGCGGGAGCATTCAATGGTCTTGGCAGGCTAAGTACATTGTAAGTTGATTTGATGGGAAAATACAATGCTGCTGAAGCTGTTGCAAACAATCCTCTTGTGTGAGCTACGGTAGTTCACTGCTACAAAACCTTATGGGGAGATCATGACTTTTGTCACACCAGGTTCTTGTGACGTCTGGCCTGTTGATGGATGCAAGTCACTTAAAATCTCTTTTCAAATTAAGAAAATTGTTCTAACCCTTTACTCTTTCAGGTATTTGTACAGCAAAATACGACTGTCATTGTTCATGCCGTAACTTTTATTTATTTTTCACTTTCATTACGTACAACATGGGGTGATTCTGAAAGTAAAAACCCTCAGGAATGCGATGCAACAACGTTCAAGTCCAGAAAATGAACAAAAGTATCACTATTTATTTAGCACTAATAATTATTCGGCTTTATTGCCGATCGGGCAAACTGTTGCAATATGCAATAAATCAGATTCTTGCACTGTAGTGGCTCCCCCAGGCAAGTGGATACCAGGTTCATTCTCTGGCAGTTGTGTTACCAGTCACAGCGGGGTCAGTATTTTCCCAAGTATTGCAAATCTCGACTAGTGCAGGTTGCACCACTGGCTGTACCTAGTACCTGTACACCACAACCTCTACCGTGACCACAGCCTATTCAACGGCTGAATCCTCTCTCTCTCTGCCACGTCCCCTTCCACCATTAGTAGCACTTATCTCAACGACACTGTCGTTGTCTGTGACATCCATGTCACTTTCACTGGCGCTGCTTTCACTCGCCATGTCATCGTCGCTGTTGGCGTCAGAATACATGTTTTCAACAGTATCGTCTGGCTCCACAAACTCATCTTCGCTTGGTAAGGCGGCGACAGGGCCGTCAGGAAGGGTCTCCAGAAGCGAAAGAGCTTGCTCCGCGTCCATGGCTTGCACAACAGGGCGGACAGTCGCAAGGCCAGCTCAAGCAAAAGTCGAAAACACCTGCAGGCAATACCAAAAGTCGCAGGGTACGCACTTTTCCCAAAGCGCATTTTTCAAGTCGCGATTTCTGCGAATTTTTATATTGCATAACACAAAACAATTGTTGGCACCCTCTGCGCGTACATCTTGGCTACCAGTAGGGGAAACCCCAGCTCTCTGCAGTGAGCCAGTCCAGTCTGTGTGCATGGAAGTCATCGACCGAGAGCGGTCGAAATTTGTACGTACAAACGGTAACGGGTTGATGTTTTATTTCCCTCTTGTGTTATGTCAATCCAGGTTTTGTGAACCGAGTAAATAGGATAATAGGGTGATTGTATTGTCCCAATGGTTTAAGCAGCGTCGAATATAAATAACATTGAGGGAGTGTGTGAGAATCTAAGTGTATATTGTGAGTGATGTAATAGTTTCCTTCTCATTGCATAAGGCACGCTTGAGTATGTGGATGTAGACAGCTTCCAGCACGACGTGAGAGACGACGGAAATGGGAAGGTAAAGAAGAAGTCAGCGATTTGTGCACATTTGAAAGCTAGTCCAGGATGTCGTTAGGTGTATTGTGACAATAGTTTTAGTGTACAGTGCCGTGCTAGCTTGTTGTCAAAGTTGGATGTCGGGTAACCTCTGTCACAATTGTTCTCTTCTCTTTGTATAGAGAGCTGCAAAATAATCAACTGAGAACTTTACCAGCGGGAGCATTCAATGGCCTTGGCAGGCTAAGTACATTGTAAGTTGATTTGATGGGAAAATACAATGCTGCTGAAGCTGTTGCAAACAATCCTCTTGTGTGAGCTACGGTAGTTCACTGCTGCAACACCTTATGGTGTGATCATGACTTTTGTCACACCAGGTTCTTGTGACAACTGGCCTGTTGATGGATGCAAGTCACTTAAAATCTCTTTTTAAATTAAGAATATTGTTCTAACCCTTTACTGTTTCAGGTATTTGTACAGCAAAAAACGACCGTCATTGTTCATGCCGTAACTTTTTTATTTTTCACTTTCATTATGTACAACATGGGGTGATTCTGAAAGTAAAAACCCTCAGGAATGCGATGCAACAAAATTCAAGTCCAGAAAAAGAACAAAAGTATCACTATTTAGCGCTGATAATTATTCGGATTTAATGCCGATCGGGCAAACTGTTGCAATATGCAATAAATCAGATTCTTGCACTGGAGTGGCTCCCTCAGGTAAGTGGATACCAGGTTCATTCTCTGGCAGGTGTGTTACCAGTCACAGCGGGGTCAGTATTTTCCCAAGTATTGCAAATCTCGACTAGTGCAGGTTGCACCACTGGCTGTACCTAGTACCTGTACACCACAACCTCTACCGTGACCACAGCCTATTAAACGGCCGAATCCTCTCTCTCTGCCACGTCCCCTTCCACCATTAGTAGCACTTATCTCAACGACACTGTCGTTGTCTGTGACATCCATGTCACTCTCACTGGCGCTGCTTTGTGTGTGAGAATCTAAGTGTATAGTGTGAGAGATGCAATAGTTTCCTTCTGATTGCATAAGGCACGCTTGAGTATGTGGACGTGGACAGCTTCCAGCACGACGTGAGAGACGATGGGAATGGGAAGGTGAAGAAGAAGTCAGCGATTTGTGCACATCTAAAAGCTAGTCTAGGATGTCGTCAGGTGTATTGTGATAATAGTTTTAGTGTACAGTGCCGTGCTAGCTGGTTGTCAAAGTTGGATGTCGGGTAACCTCTGTCACAATTTTTCTCTTCTCTTTGTATAGAGAGCTGCAAAATAATCAACTGAGAACTTTACCGGCGGGAGCATTCAATGGTCTTGGCAGGTTAAGTACATTGTAAGTTGATTTGATGGGAAAATACAATGCTGCTAAAGCTGTTGCAAACAGTCCTCCTATGTGAGCTACAGTAGTTCACTGCTACCAAACCTTATGGGCAGATCATGACTTTTGTCACACCAGGTTTTTGTGACGTCTGGCCTGTTGATGGATACAAGTCACTTAAAATCTCTTTTGAAATTAAGGAATATTGTTTTAATTTTATAATAGCTATAAAGAGAACAAATTCTGCTGTCATCGCCACACTACAACAAAGTCATGAAGGTTTACCAAAATCGATTTTCTTGTCACAATCATCAGTGGAAAGCCGTGACTGAAGAATAACCATGCCAAATCAATAATTTATATACATTCAATAATGTGTTACGAGAACAAAACAAAGAGCTAAAAATAGAATGAGGGAAGGTGAGACAATAGAAGTAAAGTGAGAGCTAAGTGCAACAGGGGTGAGGAACTAATTGCAACGCTAGAACTGTGTAGTGAGACAAACAATCATGATGTGCACCTACGAAAACTATCTTAACGCAACTACATGTTTCTTCTGCTTACAAAGATCAGGCTTATGCAACGAATACAAACAGCCTCAAGTACTTTCAACTGAATAGCGTACCGTGCACGACAAAGAACAGAAAAACTAAAATCATCATACACCTGCAGACACTTAGGGTGAGACAACAGATGAAGAAAAACGGCAGACTTCTTACGATCACAATCACCATCCGATTCCTCGTCTCCACCAACCGCAACCTCGTCCCCCGTCTCATCTTCCAACTCGTCCTCAGTGTCGTCCTCCGTGTCATTCTCCTCATCACCACCGATCGGTCCCAGGCTCGCTTCACGTTGCTGAACCTCTGTTCGTTGACTCCTCCTTTGATCTTGATGGTAATTTGTTACCGGATTGTTCCGTTGTTATCATTGTTTCAAATCTTTATTCTCACGATAGCCAGTGGCCAATAAGAGATAATAGTGTAAGAAAGGAGAAAGAGTGAGGAAGAATTGGGTGGGCAGGGCCTAGGGGTTAATGACTACTTAAGTGTACGGGCAGGGGTGGTCGCCACACGAGCATACAGAGTTGCGTACTTAAGTGTACGGGCAGGGGTGGTCGCTACACGAGCATACAGAGTTGTGCAACAGCAGGGATATCTCGGATTTGAAGGGAGTACGAGAAGGGATTTCGCGAAGCTGGGTGGGCAGGCAATTAAAGTAATGAAGGGCCTTGTACAGGGGAGAATGGAGACAGCGGTCAGTCCGCGGAGTTGGCAAGTGCCAAGTACGAGAGCGACGTAAATTATACGAAGGTTGCACGTTGCTAGCAGTATGCAGCGAGAGTATATGTGGTGGGGCATAATTGTGGCGCAGAGAATGCGCGAAGAGTATATGTTTAACTTTAAAGCGTGAAAATAATGTTGGCCATTTGATGCGATGCAAAAGGTGGGAGTGTTCTAAGTGTGTGTAAAGGGGAAGGTGGAGACATATTCTGGCGGCTTTCCGCTGGAGTCGTTCTAGCCTGTCAAGGGAAGTGTGGGACAACGGTGTGAGAGCAGTGCTCGCATATGAGAATATAGGTAGTATGTATGTCTGATAGATGTGAGATAAAGAATCACTGGTGAGTGTAGACCTTAGTCTAAAAAGAATATTGAAAGACTTGAGTGATTTTTTGACTATGTATTCAACATGCTCCGTCCAACGGAGGTCATGCTGAAAGATTATTCCGAGGTGTTTGTGTTTTTGTGCTACGGTAAGCGGACTATTCCTGAGGGTGATCTGGGGTAGCTGTTCAGGAGGGCGGTTATTGTGGTAGAACGGGAGGATGACTGTTTTCTTTGTGTTAACCAGCAGGTGCCATCTTTGTTGTTGCTCCTGTTGTTGCTAAATCTTCTGTTCCCAGTGTCTTCGCCGGTGCTTGACATCCAGTACTGTAATAATTCATTGAATAATTAGCCGTTGATCGTCTAGGCCTTTGAATGTTGATCGTGTCGTTTTCTCTGTTTATATTTTTAGCACTTTGTTTTGTTCTCGTAACACATTGTTGAATGTATATAAATTATTGATTTGGCATGGTTATTCTTCAGTCACGGCTTTCCACTGATGATTGTGACAAGAAAATCGATTTTGGTAAACCTTCATGACTTTGTTGTAGTGTGGCGATGACAGCAGAATTTGTTCTCTTTATAGCTATTATAAAATTGTTGTCTCCGCGTCAATTATTTACATTGTTTTAATTAATATTTTATTATACACTTGTATTATGTCCATTCATTTCTTGTGAACCGAGTAAACTCATGTTGCTAATGCTTCATATCATGATCTTGAAAGGAGAGGTTGAAATATAGCATTGTGTATTCACTAGGCAGTGCTGCGTTATAAAATACGGTCGATCATCACAGTCTGCTTTCCGTAATGGCTTCTATTGTTCAGCCCGAGGACTTACACCTGATCCACCATCTACTGCATTTGACAACCCTGGCGGTCAAGTTGGAAGGATCAACCTGTCAGCGCCTGGACAGGCCTCTGGTCACACCACCAGGTTTAGTATAATGCTTCTGTGTTACCTGTGTCACCTGGTCAGTGCGGTTGATAGACTATTTGCCATCTCGTTGACATCAGTTGCAGAGTGGGAAGACAGCAGTTGCCCTCCCAGGTCTAGTTGCAAGATATCCTGGTCTACCTCGTGGACACGATGCTTCCTGATATCCTTATTGATTGGAGAGGCTGACTTAGCATGCAGTGGCACCAAGTATGTGAACTGGTTGAGATCCCGTGTCTCTTTCTGCTGCACGCGTTTGGAACAGTCTTCCACCTGATGCGAGAAACATCACGTCCCCCCTCCAGTTCAAGGGTGTGTTGCACGCGTATTGTCTTACTGTAGCATGACAGCAACCCCCCTCCCCTATCTTGAATAGTACTAGTAGTATGTAGTAATTCTGATGCTCTGATGCATGCCGAGGCTAGCTCAGTCTCCGGCTAGCTGTATGCTCAGGATGCATTCTTGATCTTCTCTTCTTCTTCTTCTTCTTCTTTTTTTTTTTTTTTTTTCCTTTATCTTTTCTTTAAAATGTTTTACTGCCAGAAGTCGTCTTCATATAAGGAGGCAGATATGCCTGTTTGTTGTACGACTTTAAATAAATCCAACCAACCAACCAACCAACCAAGGTCATGGTCACTGATACCATCGACACACACCACAGTTGTGTCACGATGTGGTGCAGTGGCATATACTAATGCCCAGTCAATGCATGTCTTGGCCAGTCGAGTTGGCGTAGTCACAACATAGGTGAAAAGGTGAAACTCTGCACACAAGTCGAGCAGGTGCTTATAATTATGGTTACTAGTGGGTGTAGGGTGTAGCACATCAGTGTTGAAAAATCGAAGCACAGTAAGTCTACAGTCGTTGCGGGTTACGGCGTCAATATGCTGGCTATACAGGTCCCAAACATTAGCAGTAGTACTGGGTGAACGGTATAAACTGCACACAATCAATTCCATGGCCTTTGGTGTAGCGCTAATACGTACACGGACAAACAGGCACTCCACTCCTAAGTCAGCCACTGGTACTCTCACTGAGTGAATTTCAGAATGGACGCAGACTCCACCACCATGTAAATCTTGGTCTGTGCGGTACAGATTATTGCCTGGAATATGCAACCTGCAGTCGGGTATACTGCTATCAAGATGAGTTTCGTTAATCGATAAGATGTGAATTTTATGAGCATACAAGAGGCGATGGATATGGTGTACTTTATGGCGAAGGCTGCATAATGTTGATATGAGCAATGGTGTGGTAGCTTACCGTAGGTGGGTCTGGTGCTATCAGTACACCAGGAACAAATGGCGCTGCACTTGCATTCTGCGGTACTTGTGACTGGGCTGCAGTGCTAGGGCTCCCAAGTGTGTCCTAGGTCTGGGCCAGGGGTGGGTCTGGATTTCCCGCCAGCTGCACAGGGATGGCCTCGTTCGTCATCACTTCACCAGTGGAACTCGGAATGACATCGTATTGCAGAGAGCACCGTACATGTTTGGCACGCAGTTGTTTATACTTGGGGAGGATACGGGCTCGTGAGTCGTGCCTGTTGCTGGGTTTTGGTCAGGTCACGACCAACGTTCACGGCAGCTGCGTCCACTTCCAAATCAAGTCGTCTTCGGTACAAATTATCTGCGTGGGTTCGGGTTGACAGGTGGAGAAGGAGTGGTCTGGGGCGGGGATGTTGTCCATCAGGCGCATCTCGTACACGGCCTTCACTCTCAGCACTTACAATGCAAGAGGGTTGGACACCGAGTGTGCCAATGGTCGCACCTAAAGTCTCAGCATTCTCGTTCTCGAAGCCCGTGCAGTATGAGGTTGTTCGTGCAAGATGAAGCTGTGCCTGGAAGAAGGGAAAGAGCGAAAGAGGATGAAAGAAATTATGGCCTTCTGCAAGCAATAACAAGTAATCAGTGCCGGCCGTGTAAAGTCACACAACCATGAAGTAGACCGGATGATGGTAAGTTTCCAGCACACATCTTGCGTTGCTGCTCCACCTGCGCATACCTGATATGGTGGTGCGCTTACGGGCTGCCTGGGCTCCAGACGCCTCCCTGATGCACTACTGGGTGCAGTCAAAGCACCTGTATCCCTTCGGTGATCCAAATGCGAATGCAGCCTCGCCGGTCGCCCGCTGGCCAGCTGCCGCCTACGCGACCAGCCTGAGACTGGCCCTGCCGCATTTGGCGCTTCTAAACGATGCGATCCGGTAGACAGCTCACTGGGCTACGAAATTCGTGACTGGCTTGAGGACAGTTCCATACTGCACGGCAGGGTGCCCAGCTCAGGTCGCGGGCGGTAGCGACATGAGCTGAGCGCGGTGAGGGTTGGTGATAACTACAGTTTCCTCCTTCCTCCTCCGGAAACTTGCATTTTGTGGCCAATTTTTTGGCCGGCCGATTTGGGAAATGCCTGGCCTGCAAAGTGACACTGAGCTGGTAACCGAAGGAAATGTCAAAGACTTGATGTAAGTAGTGGA